CTCTAACTCGATATAGAGGTAAGATAAGTAAAAATTTTTTTTATTTAAAAATATATTGCATTACAAGAAAAATTAATGTATTGTATAATCACCCTCAGCTTCAATTATGGCTTCTATACAATATTTTATATTTCTAACCAAATTTTTTGTATATTCTTTAGGTAAGCTATTCTATTTTCTCATTATTTCATCTTTCAAACAACTAAGGGTTCTAATTTTTTTTTTGCTAAATTATTTTCATAAACCTCCAAATATTTTTAATTAGGTTTTGGTCAGATAACATCAATAGCCAGGGGAGAACCTGAACGTTATTTTCTTTTTTCCAAGCTTTCGCAATTTTCAAATAATACTTCAGATTGTTGTTCTTCTACAAGATTCATCTATCACAATGTTTGTTAAAAAGGTTTACAATAAAAGGCAGAAGGCCTATTTTATATAGGATGGTCATATATTGCATATTAAGATTACGCATAAAGCAAACCAATTTGCTAAAGCCTGAAGAAGAAAAATAACCCTATACATGAATCTTTGTCGAATATTTAACGGAATGAATTAATTTTCTTTTTCTGGAGAATTGCTATACCTTTTTTAGTTATTGATTCAGGCAGAAAGTATTTTTATTAGTAAATATCACAAAATTCCAGTTAAAATTTTTATACTTCTTTACTCATGAAAGACATTTTTTTAATGCTTCTCTCCAAGCAAAGGTTTTGAGAACTTTCTGTAATAATAACCTATCTTCACAAAGGTGCTATTGAATAGTGTGCATATGAATATCGATATTTTGTTTCATTAGTTTACAATAAATTTCTGAGACTATAATGTTTTCGTTTTCTTTTCCCAGTTTTAAAATCTGTTTGTCTTGTCTTTGGATAGTGGCTCTTTTATGACACAACCTTTGTTTGTCGCTTAGGTTCTTAGTTTTTTGCTATCTTTTTATCTAATAATATATAGAACTTTCATCATAATGAACTTGCTTGCTATTTCACAGATTGAAAGCTTAGGAACTTTTAGATAGATACTTAAAAAAATGATTTCATATCATTTATATAAAGCGAGAAATATTTTTTTGTCTAAAATTTCATGTATAATTAAAGCAAATATTTTTACTATCAATCATACCCGAAGAATATTAGTACAATCTGTATATGCAATGTACTATATATGAATGAAATTTCACATATCTGTATGTGATCTAGTGAAAGCTAGAGATGCAGAAAACCTTTTGTCAAATACTGTATAATCAATTATACTCTTGTTAATATAACAATATTAGATTAAATCCTTGTAACTATACTGATATTCAATTCAAAGTTTAATAAAATCTGCTAGACCTTAAATAATCATTTTAATATTAAAAAAATCTGTTTGAATTTATTTAAATTTAATTTAAATTTATTTTAAACTCAATTTAAATTTATTTAAATCTAATTTAGATTTATTTAATTTTAATTTAAATTCAAACAAATCTAATTTAAATTTATTTAATTTTAATTTAAAGTTAAATAAATCTAAATTAGATTTATTTAAACTTAATTTAGATTCAAATAAATCTAAATTAGATTTATTTAAATTTAATTTAAATTTAAATAAACCTAAATTAAGTATACATTATTCGGCAAAAATTTTTGAATAACAGTAATTTGGTTCAACCAAGCAAATAAACATATGCCACTTTGTGACATGTATCAGTCAATTATTTGCCCAGTTGAGCCAAATTACTGTTATTTAAAAATTTGCTAAATAATGGTATTATCTGAAAATTTATGATTATGATTGGTAGGTAATCATCAGCTGAGTTTTAATTCAAGTAAATATAAATATTTCATAATATATAAAAAAAATAATAAACAGAAATAAATTCATGATCATAAGAATTTGTCAGATAAGTTTATTTAAATCTTCTTTAGATTTAAATAAAAGAAAATTTACAGATAAGGGCCCAAAAATAAAAATAATTACAAATAAGCAGGATTGGCAAATAACAATATCATTTAAAATTTTAATGACAAATGGCAAATTAATAACAAATGACAAAAGTTATTTATTATTTATCATTTAAAAATAAAAAATTTTAACCAATCACAGGATCTCAAGATTGTTAAAACTTTGAATGTTTTAGAGTCTAAATAATTTTAAAATACCTGAAATAATATAAAATATTTTTAAATATAAACTATTTTTGTCATTGTTATTTGCTTTTTAAATAACAAAATGACAAATAACAATGTCACAATATTGTTTATGTTATTTAAAAATTATTTGCCAATCCTGCAAATAAGGACTCAAAATGAAAATAATTACAAATAAGATTTAATATTTGAAAATTATTACAAATAAGAGCCCAAATATACTGTTAAAATTACTAGCCAATTTAAATATAATGGTATTTTGATAAATTATCTCATTTTGTAATTAAATAGTTGTTTTAGATTTATATTTATTATTTAAAATTAAAAAGAAAACACAAAAATCTAACCAACCAATCAGATTTTTAACCAAAACAAAAAATTAACTTTGTGTGATCTAATAGCTTTACTTCTCAAACTACTATATATAGTATCTCAGCTTCTACTTCAAAACAAATATAATTTATAATATCACAAGGTTGAAGTATTGTTTTTTAAAATTAAAAAAGTTTTTTATTAAGTTAGGGTTTGTTGGGCTTCTAAGTAAAGTTGTAGAGAAGATTTCTCTACTATTTTTTTTAACTAATGGCACTGTAAACCTTACAAGAAATAGTCTACATGCTTTGAATGCTTCTATAGAAGTTAAACAAATTGGATCATAAGAAATCAGCCTTATTATATGAATGTAGCTACTTTTGCACTTGTTAACTAAAAAAGTAAAAGGATATGAACTGATTTAGTTTGTAAAACAAATAGCCAACAGCTTATTTTGTTTGTTTGTTCTAAACTTATAAGAAGAAGAAAATTCAACAGAATAACTATTCAGGGCCAAATAAATATTTTTATGTTAGTAAAACGATCTGTTATTTTGTATTTGACATGGTTTTTGTATAAGCAGACAGATTTTTAAGAAATATATTAAGAACTTCAATGGAATAAAATTACAGCGTAAATAATTGGTTGACGAATCGAATATACATTTTTATTGTGCATTTAAATTTATATTCGAATTACTAATAGATTATTATTACATTTCTTATGTTGACAATTAATGACTATATTAAATCATATTCAAATCATCGAAACGGGGTCTAAATCATAGGTTCTTAAGCGCATAATTATTTTGGGCTCTTATCTGTAATAATCTTCAAATATCAGGCCTCTATCTGTAATTATTTTCATTTTGGGCCCTTATTTGTAATTATTTTCGTTTTTGGGCCTTTATTTGTAAATTCCCCTGAAATAAACCCAAGCTAGGTTTATTTGAACCCAATCTGGATTCAAGTAAAACTAAGCCAAGTTTATTTGAACCCAATCCGGGTTCAAGTAAACCCAGGTTCATTTAAACCCAATCCGGATTCAAGTGAACCCAAGCCGGGTTCATTTGAGCCCAATTCGGGTTCAAATGGTCCAAAGTCAAGTTCAAGTAAACCCAATCTGGGTTCAAGTGAACCCAAATCGGTTCATTTGAACTTAATCCGGGTTCATTTGAACCCAAGTCGGGTTCAAGTAAACTAAAATCAAGTTCAAGCAATCTCAAATAAAAAGTTGGGGCAATTCCCGGACTTGAAAGCTAGAAAATTAAAAACAAATTTTTTAAATTTAAAACCTTACCCCCCAGAGCAACACCCGGGCCTGAGAGCTAGTTTATATAAATATAATTTGGTTTTATGTAGATTTACATAAATCTAATTTGAATTATAAAAATAGTTTATATTATTAAAATTTCTCTTTGTATAAGTTCTTAACTATATATGAGTGCGTGAGAATAAAAACCTGTAACTGATCATAGTAAATCATTATAATCAGTTCCAGGTTTTTATTCTCACGCACTCATATATAGTATTATATATATACATGTATATACGTATTACGTATATAAATACAAACTATATACGTATAGATATCGATATAGTTACGTACAAAACTTTAATCATTGCTTATTTAGCAATTTGCTTTAAAGTTCTATATTAATTACTACGTATATTTATAATCTATTCGTAATTATCTAATTAAACTTTCTAATTATACACAATATAGTTAACTATTAATCTTTAAAACAAAATGGCTTAATTTTAATCATTTTTTTCTCATACTTCAAAAACTTTAAGGCTCTTACAGGATTTGAATACAACATATCCTTAGTACTTTGTTATATTCTTATGGGCTTCTCAAATCTTCAATTAAGATGGCTCGGTAAAACTACGACCTGTTTGTTGTGATTATCCATCAAAAACAAACCAATTCCAGTTATTAAGAAACATTAAACTAATTAAACTAATGAACAAAAAATGATGCAGCCATAATATAGCCATGCATTTGAACAAAAAGACAATGATTTGGTTTTCACTATTAAAATTTTTGAAAAAAAAATGCAGATGCTTTACAATAGCACTCAGAATTATGAAAAGAAATGATTAAAAAAAACATCCGTCTACAAAGTAAAACCAAAAATTTGTTTAAAATTTCATGTAAGATGCGGCTCAAAAAAAAAAAACATAGTAATTAGAGTAATTAGTCATTTCAATTACAGAAAATTAATTAGTCCAAAAAATAGTGTGTATGATTTCAAATAAAACTACCAAGTTTATGATAATACAATATAATTTACTGTCTTCAAAACAATCATACACTAAATACCGATGCAAACGAATGTTCGATTTAAACGTCGTTAGATCCAAGCCATTAATAAGGGCCATAAAATATTTACATAAATTCTTGAAATTCTTCGGTTCTTTTGGATAAACAATCCAAATATTGTCGATAAATATTATTAAATCTTTCCGAGTATTCCCACCAAAATGCGAATTCTATTGTATAATAAATATTTAGAATAACACAATAAATTAAATAAATAAGAAACAAAAGTTATCACATACCATGCACAGTCTGCCCGAATTTCACCCATCCATCGACACAATCCCAATTGCCGACTGTAACAAGAGCCCCTTGATCAAGTCCCCACTCCACCAACATATGACAATCATCCTTCGTTAAGAGCTCACCGTTTTCTGTTCTACATTCTCCGACAATCGCAAGTAATTTTAATTTCGGAAAAATTGCTGATGTAAATGAAGTGATCATGTTCTTACCAAATCCTATACAATCACGAAATTTAATTTTTTCAAGATTTTTACATTCAAAAAGGTCGGACCATAGTATGTTATCGGTGAAAGTAACGTCCAATAAATTAATGCTGCGCAGGGACTTAGATTGGGAGGGTAACGCAGGGAGCAGGGCAGATAATGGCACGTTGCCGAGTTTGAGAGATTTGAGTCGAGTTTGGGATTCGATTACTTTTTGTAAAGAAATTGATTCATCATTGTAATTACAATTTCGAGAGGAATGTGATAAATAGACGAACAATTTATCCTTCAATAAATTTACGAAAATTTAAAAATAAGCGTTGTCTTCGATTTTCGTGTAACGTTCGACACTAAAAATGCCGGTATGGTTTCACAATTACCAAAATTGTTAACAGTAAACTTTATGCATACCAAGTTTTTGCATGGTTCAGATAGGCCGTTCAAAATACGATCTTTAACAAAATTTCCTTTAATTCTCAATTTACGCACCGGCTCAAGCAAAATTTGAAATTCGTCTTCAATAATTCTTCGATACTTCAAGTCAGTAGTAGTTTTTTCAAACCATTCACCAAGTACAAGATGCAATAAAATTACCGAACGTGTCAAAAACAATCTAAGTAATGCTCTCATTAGTAAAACTCTAGCATTATAGAGCTCTTGATCAGTACAACTGCACCAAAGGTCAACTGAACCACAAAATCTATCATAATCTAATCGTTTCAGCATTGCCGCGTACGGAAATGTAGAACGTCGATAACGCGACGATCTTTTAAGGACAAAACCTTTGGACGTGAGCTCATTACGTTCATCGGAGTTGAAACAAGAAATATAGGTATCTATCAACCTGGAATTTCCAAGGCTACAATAGTAGAAAGAATTGCGCCAGAGGATGGGAACGGCAGCCTGGCACCATTGCCGGTTAACTAAAAGACATGAGTGTAGGCTTCGGCGAGCACCACGATCATATGCATTTGGATTTTTTCCAGCCTTACGAACGTATATAAATATAATCCGGAGCACATCTAACGGAAGTTCTGACGCGAGCGAAGATTTTGACTCCATTAGGTATAGCGTGAGTTCGATGTTTCGATGTTGAAATGGTAGAGAGTTGAGTTGAGAAAAATTGAACAAATTTATACTGGCGCCATATTTATAAAAAATTGAAAATCATTAGTGTAACAATGCAATAGTGAGTAAAATGATTGGCTTTATCAGCCCGATCATCATTTCACCAAATATTGGCAAAAAAAAAAACTGCAAAAGCCATTACTGGTTTGATTCAATAACTATTTATTTCAAGCTTTGAATGTCTTCTTTCATAAATGATAGTATATATTTAAAAAATGAAATTGTGATGTAAATTGTGATAATATCCTATATCACGTGATCCTGGTGGTTAATTTACCACCTATGTATAACACATTGTAATTAACCTTATTGTTACCGATTACATAGGCCCCACTTTTTATTAGAGCCAAATAACCTTTTTATTCGATTAAAAAATATATATACAGTATATATTTTATTCTTTTTTTTCGTCATCCAAATTTTAAATATACAGTATATAACCCGCCTCAAAATTTATTATCTAAAGATATATAACCTTTAGACCAATAACCACTTTTCAAATGTAAGAAAGTTATATTGTTCGGGACCTGATTACATAAACTCTTTCTACAAACAGCTCGATTAGTTAACTGATTAGACTGTTTCATAGAATTTAAACCATCTAAACGATTCTAGCCAGTGGTATTGGTGTGCTTACTTTATTCAGCACAAATGTGTAATAAATCAAGTGTAATATCAGATGCTTGCATTTACGTATAAAAAAAAACAATAAAATAATGTGTAATGTAAGGGTACACAAAAAAGATATTAATATAAATTCCATGGTTGGAGTTCTCTTGGCTAATATTATAATGTTGGCCAGCATTACCGGATTAACCACCACACCTTTTTTATTTTGACGATCTCGCGCCGTGCTATTTTAGATGTATTAAAGAGGACACTGGTGACACCACGCGAGTTTAACAAAATCTTTAATGTAAAATATAGATTAGGATTTTCCTTTCTCGTATGCTAGTCAGGCAGTGATTAAAAACACCGCTTATACAGTACATATATATATTTGTAATTAAATTACGCAAAAGTAATCTTATTTTCACAAGTTTTTATAATTTCTTATCTAAACGATATAATAAATAGCAGAAGACTTATAAAAGCTGACCCAACCAGTCTTATATTCGAAAATTGTGGTTAAAATCACATGCAATATATACAAATACTAACGAATAAAAACACTGAGTTAGTAAAGAACAACTGTTTTTTTTTTTTTAATACAGTATTAGATTTAAAAATACAAAATTTAAAATTTTTTGTAACTAAAAGCAAATTTTTATTATAATAAAATTTTTTTGAAAATACTTATACCCATAAGGTATGATATCCGTATAATATATCTACGTCGAGTTAGATTAGAAACGCAATATGAATTTATATATAGCTGGACAATTTTATTTACCGTTTGCCACTGCATACAGTACCCGGAGTCTTATTCAAGAACTTTATTTTTAAAATTGAATAATACCAGATACTATTCACGAATCCGGAAATCTCATTGGTGGAAAAGGGGTACTCTATGTGGTAGAATATACTGTATGCAGTGACAAATGTTAGTATCCCCAAATTCAATTTTCTAGTAGAAATTTAAAATATAGGGTTTTCTAAATAAGTGCAATGCTTTTATTTAAAGGTAGAATCTATAAATATTCCTGAATAAAAATAAATATTTAATTATACAAAATTTGTAAATAACTAAAAATTAATATTCATTTATAACTAATTTTTACCCGTGGTAATATTATTTGGCATTATAAAACTTCTATTGAAAATTAAATAACTTTTAAGGCTAGAGGTTGAAGTTAGTTTTAGATTAAAGTAAAAAAGCTTGATTATATATAAAATTTGGTATTAAAAATTTTGCTTAAAAGCTATAAAATTTTAAGTAATTAAAAAAAGATTTGTTTTTTTTTTAATTTTTTATTTTGTTTTAATTATACAAAATCTTTTTTTTTTTTTTTATTTTTTAAATATTAAGGTGACCACTTTGGGTCTGGCATATTTTATTTGCAATCTGGATCAAGTGCCAGCTTGGTCTTGTTGACCTCACTTGATTTTGTTATACCAATGAAAGTATAATTGGTCACACATACAATTTTAGTTATTGTCTATTTTTGCTATATTTATTTCTATTTATAGTTACCTACCAATTGTTATATCTAAGATCTGCTTGTAGATCTTCTATTTAAACTTTTGATTGACTTCATGCTATTGTGTTGTTTTCACTATTGTCTAACTGCTACTAAGACTCTTTAGGATCACTTTATCCTCATAGTAAACCTGCTAAAGCTTTTCATACCTATAATCTCTAGTTTTCAGTAATTTATATCAAGTCCGAGAACAAGTATTCGTGAGCTGAGGCTACTACTATTACTGCTACCCTTGCAAAGTTTATCCAAACTTCAGCATATACTTTATAGACTATTATCAGTACTACCAACTATCCTAAATTACCAATTCAGATAGTCTAAGAAAGTTGTAACTTGCTTTTAGTCCTATGATTGAGTTCTTTTTCTCTGATATTTTGGCAAGCTGGTTGGTAAAATGTCTTGCTAAACATTTCGGTCCTGTTTAGTTTTTGCTGATTCTCATGTAATAATTCTTTATATAATACCATCAAAGGTCTGTGCTACCTCTCTACTCAGGTCTTGCCAAACAAATATCAATCTTTTCAGTTTCTTAAATTTATATGATTCAAAAACATATTTGTATAACTTATATATTGCACAAATACTCTATAAAAAGGCATTCATAAATAACATTATACGAGAGAGGAGGAAGAAGTTTCACAAAAATAATATTTTTTTTACATTTTTTGCTAAGTTAGAGGGGATCAAAAAAAAATAATATAAAAATATTAATATCTCGTGATCCAATGGTCCAAATTAGATGAATTTGGTATCATTGGATTCGTCTCAGTGAGAGAAATCTAATAATATTAAAATTATTCAATTTGGATCATTAGATCAAACAATATTAGCAAAAAACTATTTTTTTTTTTCCTCTTTGGCAACCTTGCCAGTAATCCTTTATTAAGATTATTATATAAAACTAGTTACATAATATTGAGCTTAATATTTAGGCCCGACATCTCTCAGCTGTCTCTATAGATATCCAAAAGCGGTCTGCTACACTAGATAGAGGTTTATATTCTCTATCTAGAAGGCTTTTACCAAGTTGTCTCAGAAGCCTTAAAGACCTCAAAAAGGTCTTAATTTAGTTTCGTTAAGTCAAGTTTATCTAAATACCCTTCTGCTATGCTATTACCTAAATCTAATCTATCTAATCCTAATTCTATTTGGCTATCTAAAATACCTTTCTTTTATAATAATACTATATTATTTATTTCTAAGCTAATATTCTTTCTTTTCTTTTTCCATTTTACTCTATGTTTTTTCGCAGGTAACTTGACTCTTAACTCTTCAATACTTTTCTTTTCTTTCTCTTTATCTTCTCCGTTAATTGTTAATAGTTCTCTACTCTGTAATAGAGTTTTTTTCTTTACTTTTTTCTTTCTGCTTTTCCAGTTTGTTCTAGTCTTCTTGCTTCTTCTTGCTTGGATTAGGACTTTTCTCAAACTCACTAAAATCTTCTCTAGAAGTTTCTTTCATGATATCTTCAAGTTGTCTACTATTTGGTTAGCATCTTTCTCTTCATTATCTGTAATTCTCTTCTTTAATATGTCTTGTAGTTGAAGGTAGCTTCTTGTTAATTCTTCATAAAGATGCTCAAAGTTTTTTCTTCTTTCTCTTCTTTGAAGTTCCTCTTGTTTCATTCTTTTTTCTCTAAAACTCGTAATCCACTTCTTGTATCGATATAAATCCTCTAGACATTCCTCTAAGTAATTGTTAGATAAAGCTTCTTCCTTGTCTATAAGATTTTTTACTTCATCCTCCTTATATCCTCTTTAGGGATCATCACTTTGATATTTTTTTTCTTTTTTTAGTTTGGTTTTACAATATGTATGTATAATTCTTCGATTTGTTGAAAGGAATCTTCTATTCTTTTTCTTCTTTGTTGCGATCTCTGCTCCAAACTTTCTTGTCTATGAGTTTGGATCTATACTTTATCTTGTTCTAATTTCTCGATATAATCTTCTATCTGCATATCAAATACTTTCGTATTTGTTAAGATTTTTACATTCTCTTTATCTTCTTTTTTATTATTTTGAATTAGAAAGAATAAATTTTCTTGTTCAAGTTGTTGGATTAAACTTTCTTCTATATCTCTTCTTTGAAATACTTGTTGTTTTTCTCTTTTTTTTCTAAGATTGACTATCCAGTCATTATAAAGCTCCAGTTTTTCTAAATAATCTTCTACTGATTCATCCAATATCTCTGCAATTTTGTTTTGTTTTCTAGAATCTTCTTCTTCTTTAGTATCCAAGTTCCTAGATACCATTCCTCTATTTACATCTAATATGTAATCTATAATTAGATTATTTTGTTTACTCTTTAACACGTATTTTTTTTGTATAACAACAATGGATCTGCAGTATAGGATCAAGTGTAATTTCTCAAAAATTGCTTGCAAAGGGTGAAATTTCATCGGTTCTTTGCTATTTTTCTTCTTTTTTGTCCAAAGTTTTAATATTTTTATCTTTGTCTTCTAAAAGACTAGATATTATTTTGTGTGTTCTTTCTTTTTACTTAGTATTGCAAACTGTGTTTTCTTTAGCAAAATATGTATTTTGTTAATTTTTTGTTTATAATGAATTTGTGTTTAGAGGATCAGTGAAAAAAGTTGGTAATAAATATAGCAAAAAACTATTGACAATATTATTTTATATAAAATTACTATAGAATTAACTGTTTTTGTCTATATCATGTAATCTAGTAATCTAAATTGAATAATTTTGGTATCATTGAATTTCTCTCATTAAGACGAATCTAATAGTACTAAATTTATTTAATTTAGATTACTGAGTTACAAAATAATTAAGG